GTCAGCCACTGGCTGATCTGCAGGCGTTGAGTCATAACCCTCTTGCTTGCACTAGGCTTGTCCCATTGTATTTTCTCTGCCCTTAATATTCATAGTGTCCATGCTGTGCTCTTGGAGAGTGATGTAGCTGGTTGGTATTAGTTCCTTTGGTTTGATGCAGCCATACCAATGGATACTGATCTGTCAAGGTCCCAAATCTTCCGTTAATACACAGGGTCTGACTGGTTTGACATCCCATACAATGGTACAACAGTCTTTTCCCATGATAGAATAATTCTCTTCTATGGGCATTAGGATTTTACTTATGACAGCAATGGATGGTTTTTGTTACTTTCCCCTGTTTGTGTCACCACTGCACTCCAGCCAGTGTCTGATGCACCAGTGCGTAGTCCAAAACATTTTGTCAAAATTTGAACAGGCTTTTCCGACGTGATTTTCTTTACCTTGTCAAAGCCTTCAAGCTTTTATTTGGCTTTTGCACAAGTCTATGATAGCAGACACAGTGCCGCTGAAACGCTCCTGAATCAGCAGTAATAATTAACCAAACCTATCAAAGATTGCACTTGTTTTTCAGACTGGGGCATAGGCCCGTTAACGAGAGCTTCCACTTTCAGGAGATGAGGAGAAATCTGGCCACCTCCTAACCAATGTCCTAAATAAGTAACTTCACCCTTGTACATGTTGACATCTGTACACTGAGACCTGCACCTCTGAGTTTTGTGAATGCAATTCCCAAGTGGTTTTTAGTGATTTCACCAAGAACTGCTAAACAGTGCAATGTCATCAGTAAAATCCCAGGCAACATCTTGTAGCTTATTTAACACTTGATTTAACAAGCCCCTGAAAAGTGATTCCTGAAATCCTGCGCTCCACGAGACCCTTCATGCCTTCCATCTGAGAGATTTATCTGGCCCCCATCACCACGATGTCTGAGCACCTCTGTCTTGTGTACTGTGCTCGCAACATCTCTGGGAAGTAGGGCAGTGCTGTTATCTCTATTTTAGAGACAGGGAACTGAGGCGCAGAGGCTAAGTGATTTGTCCAGGGCCATGCAGGGAGTCTCTGGCACAGCAGGGAAATGTATCTAGGTCTCTTGAGTTTCAGGCTAGTGTCCCAATCTCTGGGCCATCCTTCCTGTCTTGTGTAAATTAACAGCCATTTTGGTACCAACATGATCCTGGTATTCTCAGAGTAACAGCTGGACTTAAGTGCCTGGAAGCAGGCTCAGTCTTGTGGTGTGTTTGTACTGCCCTTAGCATTTATGATCTAGGCGCTACTGCAATAGAGAGGAATAGTAGCTGAAGGTATCTTACAGCCAGGGCAAGAGAGTTGCCCCCGATTCATTTATTGTCCTGGAAAGGAGATGGGAATTTTTTTTTTAAATAAGCTATTTCCATCATTCCCTTTGCAGTCCCCTTAGCCTATCACCTTCAGGCCACCAGTTCAAATCCATCAGAGCAGCCTCTGGATCTAGGAAGGATGTTTGGACACTGTCAACTAACAGATGAGTCTCTTCCATTCAGGGCCGCTTCCAGGTGCATGTGAAAGCTCAGGAATATGTGGGCGGGGAGCACGTCTGCAACCTCCCCGAGGAAGACCAGCAGGGGGAAATCCATGTGAAACCCTCCTCTTTGAGTGACAGCCTGAAAATTGAGGCCTCTGTCATCTGCGACATCTGCCCCTGCGAACAGGTATGGAGGCTGCATGCCCACGCTCATTGCTTCCGGGGGGAATCCCGGGAGGTTTTCTTCTCTGACACAGACAGGGATGGTAATGAATTGGCTAGTGTGCGAGCGCGCCACTGCCCTCTCCTGGATGGAATCCTTCCTGCTCAACTGTGTGTCATATACCCTTGGCAGCAACTGGCTAATGGAAATTCTCCTTTAGCTCAGGTGGCCGGAGTTTGTGCTCTCAGAGCAGGAATTCTGCCTTTGCCGCTGCCATAAATACACAAGTGGCTGGAGTGAGCCACATAGTATCAGCTGCAAAGAGCTTGGTGGCCACAGGTTTGTTTCACCATTGAGGGTCCATGGGTGGAATAAGTTTACAGGTGGGTCTGCTCAGGGTGCTGCGGGCAGAGTCTCCGGGCCTCCCAAGTGAAGTGAGTTCATTGTTCCCAGTTTCCTGTGGAACAGATTCCTGATCAGGCCAAGGAGACATTTTGTTACAGCCCCATGCACAGAGCCATGGGTACAGAACCTGGTAAACAGAGCTCCCCTTGCATCTCGCTTGAAGATCTGCCCATCCTCTCACCTCCTCTCTCTTCTTCATATTAGGGGGCCATCAGCAGAGGGTCCTAGTGCCCTTAGAGCAGGGGTGGGCAAATTCTGGATCTGATTTGCCAGGGTGAGCCTCTGGCAGGCCCCTACACCACCCTATTTACCTGCACCTCCACAGGTAATGGGGATCACAGCTCCTGTTGGCCACGGATTGCCCTTCCTGACCAATGGAAGCTGTGATCACCTGTCCCTGTGGAGATGCAGGTGAATATAGCAGCAGCAGCAGCAGCCCGCCAGGGCCTAACCCTGTTGAACTGCCTCTGTTTTATTGCCCATACACATGCCTAGAGCAAGGGTGGGTGATCATTTTTTGCCGGGGGCCACTTCAGACCACACAGGAAGGGGCAGGACATTGAGAAGAAGGAGCTAGGGTTGCCAGGTTTTGAACCGAACAGTCCAGCATTTGAGCTTTCTGTCTGGGCAACAAATTGAGAAAATACCGGATGTTTTTATTATTCTCATGAGTATCTGTATGTAGTTGCAGATGTCTATCAGCCAGGCAGTACGCAACTACGGAGTAGAGAGGAAGGGAGCGGGGGTGGGGTGGGATGGAATCCCCGGGGCCAGACGGAAGACTGTGCATGGGACAGGCAGCACCCCAGGATCTGCATGTGCCTGGGCCAGCCCTGCTCCCCC